AGATTATCAAGGTGTCGGCCTGTTTGGCCAATATAAACGCAAACTCAACCAGCGCAAGGTATACAGTAAATGACGTTGCTTAGTTTTTCCATGGTTGGGGGGTCCTTTAATCGCCATGGGCTTGCGCGTAGTGAGGATGCGGGCTTGTGGGCGACGGAGATGTCAAAGCGACTTATTTGACAAAAGAGGGTTTCAGATATTTCATTCATGTAGGATAGAGAATAAAATTTCCGTGGCACTATACCTTCATTGGGAGGGAGGTTTTGTGTTTGACCCCGATGTCTAAGGCAATTCTTGACAAAGCTTGTCGCATATCCGTTGACCCAGAAGAATTTGTACAAATACGTTAGTTCTCTCTTGAGCAAACCATCATTACTGCAATGACGATGGGCCCGTTGGAAAAGAGTACGAAACAGCTTCTTTTATGTGCCGCAGGGTGGTTACACATTTAGTTAAGGATGATTTCTGCAGTGAAGTCCTTTCGGTAGACGCTTGCTGCGAGTTCGCTATCCGTGAGTCTATGTATCCTTACGTCAAGGAATGGGAGGGTATCTCCCGTTGCCTCTTCGCGGGTAAATTGTGTTTCTGAGAAGACCTCATTTAGACTGTGGTGCAGCCGTTCGACGTCGCAAGTCTTTTTGATGTCGAATGTGTCGTCTACGTAAGGTAGCCACATTTTTGGATTTACAGCTCGAAAACTTCCTCATCTAGTGTCTGTAAGAGTAGTTCGGCCAGTAGCCCCGATGTAGGCAACATTGACGTGGTTAGTGTTGTAAATGCAGCCAAAGTTGCGATATAGCCGTCCAATTACGCCCTGTGTGAGTTCCCAAGAAAGAACACAACAAGAAGAGAGAAAAAGTAGAAGACTTTTTCGGTACCTAGTAATGAGTACTTATAGCAAGCAAAGCATGCAAGATCGGACTAATTAAATTATGTCCTTGAAATGACGCTCACAGGCGTAGTAAACATCATAAGAACATTATCGGCACAGACTGAGAAAAAAAGAATGACTAATTCTGGCTTTATCAGCTAGGTACTCTCAGTGGGTTCACTACTTCGTATCGTTGAGAGTCCTCCCGCAAATATTAAACATTACCTAGATGGCTAGACTGAATACTAAATTTTCAGAATTCTAACGTATAGTCCGACTGTTAGAAATTTCTGTAACAAAACTTTTGACAGTTCAATGAGATCCCGACTGGGAACTCATAGATAGCTGCGACTTTAAAAAAAGCCTTTTTGGTCCGTTATTAAATAGCGTAGAAAATGAATTTGATATTCGTTATCCTTCGCTTTCGCCAAAGGCCTACCACCTTTCGTTAAGCAAATTAAAAGAAACACTCTTTTCTATACTGCTAGGGATTTTTATGCATTAACTTTACTACGCAAGTTAGAATGGTTGGATAACAATTCGGTTAAACTACAACATCCAGCTTTGACCATGGTTTAACATAATTTACTTGATGGGAAAGGCTGAGAATATTCCTGGACGCGCAATTTGCGGTCATCTACAAGAATTTACATTTTCATAAGATTTATTGCAGCAAATAACCCTACAACTACACAGATAAGAGCATGTGACACTGCGTTTTCAGCAAAGTGCCACGGCAGGGTACTGCAGACGCCCCTCCTCCTGTTCTTCCCCCACTTTTTTGCTTCCCACTATTCAATGTAAATATAGGAATTAGAAGGATTCGCAGTATGAGAACACATTTCGAATGGTTGCTCGTTTTCTCTGTTTCCGTTTTGTTTCTTTTAGGGCCCAGTGCTTCTACAGTGATTATCCTCCAAGCTGAGTTGACGCCCACATTTGTTTATAAGAAAATATTCGTTGGTAGCCCCAGTATCTGAAGAAGTTTCTGAGTTTCCAAGAAAGAGTTATAATTATCAACATGTAGTTGTACATCAAAATAAACAACAAAAGATATGTATATTTTCATAAGCCAGCGCTAGGACATACAGTATGCGAGTGCCGCATGCAAAGTAATGACGAAAATTAACTTGGCAGTTACGCCTACGCTTGGTCATGTTATGTTGATCCACTAAGTAGATTGAATCCTGTGAAAGTCTGTTAGTTAAGAAAATTGCCCTTTTTGATAAGTTTTTGAATGGCAATGGACTTTAATTATAGGCAAAGTTGGGAGTAGTCCCATATCGCAGTAATTTACCATGCTATTAAGTATGACAGGACCAAACATTTATTAATGTGCATTAGGCTATGAAAAAACTCCGAAATAAATTTTAAAAAGTTTTAAACATGTCCCCTGCAGATACGAAGAATTTTCTCCAAAATTGTTCAGATACAAGTGAGGTCAAGTGAAGCCGTGTTCAGAAAGAAGAACCGATTTATGTTTCAAAAGTTGTATTTAGGTAACCTGTGAAGATTGTTTCCATAAAATGCAGTAACAAAAGGTTTAAGTCGTATTTTGCTTTAACGCATCGTCTTGATGGCAAAAAAGCAAAGTTTTAATGCATATTTCCCTGAAGGTTATGTAAAATAGGCTATCGTAAATGAAAGTCGTGCAGAAATGTATCTTCTTGTAAACAATGTATTCCGCCAATGCGCTATTTAGAAAAGGAAGGAGAATAAGGAATACTAATATCAAGGTTATTTTGCCGACTTCCTTTATGTTGGAAAATGTGGTTTGCTCTATTCAGGCACTTTAGTATGATCCACATGATCATTTTCGTAGGACCTAAAATCCAAACCTTATTTTTTAGTTAATGCATTTTGTGTATATCTTATTTTAAATGTTCTGATGTAACCCCCGAACGGAATCTCCAAGGATGGAAGAACGAATTAAGACACTGCAAAAGCTCGCAGTTATGCCAGAATCTGAAGGGCTATATTCGAGCAATAGTAATCCATTAATGATAATATTTATTAAACATTTGGATAAAAAAGTTCTTTTTATATAACGAATGTTGCGACGTAATTTTTTTAAATAAAATAAAATTTAATTTTTGTCCTCGGTTATAGGTATTTTTTACATCTTAGGAACTTGGAAATTATCGGGAAAAAATTATTTTTCTTAAAAACACTTAGTACTGCTTATATGAGTAATGCTGCTTATTATTATTTCTAAGTTTTCATAAACGCGTTCACGCTGGTAAGCGGCTGATGGTCAAACTTTCACAAACTTAGGCATTTTGCATTCCGCACCCGCCATACGCATATACCCACTTGAACTATCTGGAATCCGGAGGGGTTTATGGTTTTATTAAAGGGAACATTTTACTGCCTTGGTATTTTACCGACAAACGGAGAGCACACTAAAGAAGCTTTTCTGCCTTATTGGGCGTCATCAGGTGATGGAAGATCAACTCTGGTGTAGTAGCAGAAATCAAGTTTGGAAGTCACGTCTCCCCGGCCCGAGGCGAACGCTCTAACCCTTAAGCCACGGGCCCGCCGTGTTTTCGGCTTATGATTGGGACTATATGTCAATAGGGAATTCTACTCCGATCTGTTTCAGGATTTATTCATCCTGGATGATTGTTATGTTTGCGAGCTAATTGGAACCCCGATTTTGTATTTAACTCGCTAACGTTTAGTAAAAATGGTATTTTAACGACAAACGGAGGGTTCCAATTAGCTCTCACACATAACAAACAGATTGGAGTAGAATTCCCCACTTACATTTTAATAGCTGTTGACTGTTTTTGCCTAGTCTTATATAATTTCTGGTAAATTATGAATACGGGCCATCTGGCGTGAGAGCTTATGTGATGAAGTGAGCAATGTCATTTTCTCCTCGAGAGGAGGACAAGTAAAACTTTATTGTTTCACAGTTAAAAAGCACGTCACGGAGAATCAATCCGCCAGTGTTTAAAAAATAAATTACTTGCTTGGAATAAAAGGTGACTCTGTTTACCACGACGTTTTCAAATTGGCTATTTGGATCTAGTGCTTTAAATTAGCCAAATTGAGGAGAACGTAAGCTTGTAAATTTCTGATTTCCTCTATAAATGAACCTCTAGCTTGGACTTAACCAACATATTATATGGACTGTAAGTGCAGGGCGAAGGTTGGTGCTTATACATTTGCCAAAGTCCACCATCCACTACAAGATACTCACCTGAAATTCATGTTAGGCGCTGCAGAATTAAACGAACGGGTTCAAATAAATTAATAAAAGCATGCAAATGAGATCCAGGAAGCCGTTTAAAAAGGAAAAAAATAAGCATTCCTTATCGCAAACACAACACCATCAAAAGACCTCCGGTTTGTGGAAAACGGAAACGATAGTTATAAGAGTTATAATAATTTGGGCACATCAGATGAAACGAAAGTATAAAAATAGAGCGTAACTAAAAGGTATAATTGTTTAAATAACCAAATGTATGGTAATGAAAAAAACGTACGCCGGTAAAAAAGAAACGAAATGGATGTATAAGAAAATGGAAGACAACTCAATGAACCGCTACGATATAAATATGATCAAATCATGAAACATTGAAAAGAACAACCAACGGAAAACCTTAGTCGACCAACAAATACCTGAATTGACCAAAATTAGCTGGTGGGCAAGACTATAACCCCATTTTCAAAAACTCACAATAGCTAATACATTTAGACAGATGTTTTAGTGTGGTACGTGGAATAGCAACCAAATGTCTCTAAGGAGTTTCTTATGGGGAATGAAATTAAGTATATCTAAATTGGAAGCCGAAGGTCTAACCGAATTTTCACCGATATTGTAATACCATATTCTGGAAAGTTATGGCATGCTGCAAGATATTTCCGTCTGATAAGTGTTATGGAGTTTGAAATACTGAATATGCCAGCATTTGGCCGCGAGGGTGGTGTTCCTCATTACTTCGCCTAGCATTCCTGTGTCCGTGGTACGAACTTGTATCCTTTTAATTTCCTTAGACTTTAATTTATAAGTTGAAGTATCTCAAAATATTTTACGGGGCACGGGAATTGCCATGAATAAGCTGGGTAGAGCTACACTATAGAAAAGTAATATTCTAAGTAAATATAATTGTTCCGACCGGGAAGGAAAATTGGTTTGTAATACAAGACCTTCACATATTTAAAAAAATGCAATTTAAGCAAACTGACTGCGGGGGATGGGTTTTGCGATTTTCGGCTGCACGCCATCGTAGATGAAATTTTGCATCCACGCACGCGCAATTAGTAACCCCAGGTAGGAAGGCCATTATTTAGTTACGAACAAGTTGCATTTAATTTGCTCTTCCGAAAAATAAGAGTGGCGGATTC